ATTAATACTGATGATATTGATAATGATAAAGGTATTTTCTCTTTAAGAATGCAGTAAGATGGACTTGCTGATGAAGGAAACAGAGGGAAGCCACCAGTTGATTGGCCACATCGCCAGCCAAGTGTATAAATATAGTAAGAAAGAAAACATGATGCTGCAAGAGAAATTCGGGCATSGCCCCTACGTAAGTTTSAACATTCTAACAAATCTGTTATTGATATGAGATTTAGGATTTAGAAACTTGGAAATGAAATAGCAGACAAAACATTGCCATTGAGGCGGAACACTTTCTTTTGCATCTTTTATTAGTAATATGAATCCCTAAATAGCAAAAGTTATTTTTCCTTAACAACGTTATGCAACTAGGTGTGTTAGAGTAGAGTGCTCGCACTTAAAGCGTGAAACAAATAGTACTAATTACTACTAAATAGTGTTGAATATACAATAGGAAACAAAGGAATTTGTATAATTTGTCACCTATTTTGTAGTATTTATATTTCATGCATTTAGTGCGAGCACTCTACAAACCCTTTCCTCTATTTACTACAAAATAGCACTAATGAAACAATAAGAAAATAATACAATAGAAAATAATAGAATTAACATAATTTAGGAGTATTTAGTGATACTTATGCTGCACATGTTTAGTGTTTGTACTCTACTTATTTGACAAAAATCCGGGACATAAGATGAGATTGCTAGATTGAAAAATTTCAAGCTTAAAATATTTTCACGCATATATAGTCTATTTTGGTCTAAAACGTGGATGTACATGATGCATGCCCCGCCGACGACTAGAGTCTAAATGAAAGATTTCGCTTTCACTAGGCATTTATATACATAAGCACTGCTCTCTTACAGATTTGGGACACAGCAGGCGTCGATGTCAAAGGTCATCAGTTAACATATGGATCATGCGCGTGTTTACAGTGCTTGATGAAAATACCCCCGGAAGAACCACCAAAGCACCATGGTGCCCAGCTCCAACTACCACTTTCCAAGGAATGTCCAGGGTTTGAGGTACGATAGTCACACAAAAATTAAAATTTTATGAATCAAGCCTACGTTCAGCCGAACCAAAACTATCGAACGCAGGCTATCCAAGATATATTTTTGGAATCCGAAGTTTGTATCCTGGGACCATTTTCATAAGAAATACCGTAGGAATATCGTTTCACTGTACCAGGATTAACGTGTCATCAATAACTTCTTATTGTCTTTGATGGATTAATAATTGCAGCATTGATTTAGCTTTTTATGTCATCATCTGGCTGATTATTTCACAGGTTCTTATCCAAGARATCGGAGATCGACATTTCATCGCTATTGGGGTGGTTTGCCGTGATCATGACCTTCACAAATTCCCCGGATGGAAAGGCAATGCCGCAGGGTATCACGTTGATGATGGAAGAGTCTATGCTCGGGATTATCCAGATATTGGAAAAGAGTGCAAAGGTAACTTTTCCCTATACGTCTCGACATCCAACTCTGAATGTTTTTGCTCTATTCTTGAAATTTTATTTGATTTTTTGTGAGTCCAAATAGAGTTGGATTTGTGTAAAGTCTCATTAGATAAAAAAAGGAAACGGCTCTTAGAGTGCAAGTCACATAAGCATGAAACAATTCATAACTATGTAGTGCTAAATAAGATTTAGTTATCAACTAACTAAGAATTGATAACAATGCTACAAAGGAATTTAAATAATTGGCATTGTGTTTATGCTTTGTTGAATTCTTAGTTAGTTGATAACTAAATCTTATTTACAATACATATTAAAAATCAGTTGTTTCATGCTTATGTGACGTGCACTCTATCAAATGTTAAAAATCAAGCAGCCAATGGCAGCATAACTCGAATATTGATACAGAACGATACATGTACGATGAATCAAATTATAATTACTTCACAATTAGAATTTTAAGTAAACGATTTATCCTATTATTTTAACTTCGGTTGTGGATAAGCACGGCGAGTGACGGCGAAATAAATCTCAGTCTTAGCCGCGCTCGTATGAAGTTTGCCTTCGTGGCTCAGTGTTTAAAACATAGGCGTACTAATTAAGAGATCCCGGTTCGAWTCCCAAGAGATACCATATACTTTTTTTCTTTTCTTTTATTTTTGTTCTTTACTATTATTATTTTTTTATTATTAATTACTTTTTCCAGCAGTTCTTTTAAGAAGAGGGGGACATTGGGGTTTGCGGGATTGCGGGATTGCGGGATTGACCGTTTTTTCATGCGATATTGCGGTAATTTGGCAAAATAAATGCGATAATGCGGGATTTGTAGTTTATGCGATATGCGGTATTTGAAGTTTTAAGATGCGGTATTACGGGAAAAATCGCTTAAAATGGCGGTATTGCGAGAAAAATGATTCACAATCCATACAACCAATCACAGACCTTAATTTCTATCATGTAATTTGACCTCTCTGGACTACCTGGTCATTCTCGTTAATCTTTGTGACATCGTTATCGTACTTACATACTCCGAAGTATGTCTGACAGCCTAGTAATTATAGAATGCGTGGCTTTCTTCTATGAAGAAGGAAAAGGAGGAGAACATTATAGAAAGAAAAACAAATTCCGCTGTGAGAACGTAAAAGCGTAACTAAACTGCGAGAAGCCATTTGGTAGGTTTATTAGCTTTATCACACTTATGTTTACATGTTTATGATGGGCCTATTCAAATAATTGCAGCGAAATTGCAACGCCATATTCGTTTTGCGGTATGCGGTATTTTCGATTTTTTCATGCGGTAATGCGGGATTTTTGATTTTTTTTTTTTTTTTGCGGTATTGCGGTATTCAGAGCCCCCCAATGTCCCCCTCTAAGAATGCTTACTCCGTAACGGTGAATTAAACAACTGGAAGTTGGTTCAATTGAAACCCCGACCAACTATACGGCACCATTGTTTTTATTATTTGCCAGTTTCCGTAGCGGCTCTAAATCTAGTATTATCGATATCTAACCACACAATGAACTATATATCAAATATTACAATGTAATAGTACGCTAGCGAGCGAATACATTTTTTGAATTGTAGACGAACGTGGATAAATAAAACACACGTAAAATGATTTTCGAGACGAATTTAATCGTCGGATCGGCGAGTCTTCCTCATGCTTCCTTTGTGACTGAACAATGCAACGAATCAAATTAGATTTACTTTACAAATAGAATTTTAAGTAAACGATATTTGAATGCAGATTTTTTCGTTAAAATCTTATTAATTTAACTTCGATTCTAGAAAAGCAGGGGCGAGCGC